AAAAAAAAAAAAGTTAAAATATTGATGCAAAAATCCTCAACAAAATACTAGCAAACCAAATTCAATGGCACATTAAAAATATTTTATACCATATCCAAGTGGGATTTATCCTTAGGATATAAGAATGAGTGAACATATGAAAATCAAGAAATGTTAATGAAATATTCCATTATTAACAGAACAAAGGACAAAAATCACATGATCATCTCAACTGATGCAGAAAAAGCATCTGACAAGATTCAACACCCTTTCATGATAAACAAACTAGGAATAGAAAGAAACTAAGCCAGGCATGGTGGTTCACACCTATAATCCCAGCACTTTGAGAGGTGCAGGCAGGCCAATCACTTGAGCCCAATAGTTCCAAACCAGCCTGGGGAACATGGCAAAACCCTGTCTCTACAAAAAATACAAAAATTAGCTGGCCATGGTGGCACATGCCTGTAGTCCTAGCTACTTGAGAGGCTGAGGCAGGAGACTCACTGGAGCCTGGGAGACAGAGGCTGCAGTGAGCTGTGATAATGCCATTGCACTCTAGGCTGGGCAACAAATCAAGACCTCGTCAAAAAAAGAAAGGAAGGAAGGAAGGAAGGACCTTAATACAGTAAAGCCCACAGCTAAAATCATACTCAATGATGAAAAGCTGAAAGCTTTTCTTCTAAGATCAGGAACGAGGCAAGGATGCGCAGTTTTACCACTGCCATGCAACACTGTACTGAAACTTCTAGCCAGAATAATTAAAAAAAAAAAAAAAAAAAGACGTGCAAATCAGAAAGGAAAAAGTAAAATATTTCCATTTGCAGATGACATCTTGTTTGTAGCAGTCTCTAAAGATTTCACACAAAAAAACTATTAGAACTAATAAATTCAGCAGTTGCAGGATACAAAATTAACACTCAGAAATCAGCTGTGTTTCTATATGCCAACAATGAACAATCCAAAAATGAAATTAAGAAAACAGTCCCAGCCGGGCACAGTGGCTTATGACTGTAATCATAAGTTTATGATTCAAGCAGAGAACTGCTTGAACCCGGGAGGCGGAGGCTGCAGTGAGTTGAGATCGTACCACTGCACTCCAGCCTGGTGACAGAGTGAAAGCCTCTCTCTCTCTTTTTTTTTTTGAGACAGAGTCTCACTGTGTCGCCTGGAGTGCAGTGGCATGATCTCGGCTCACTGCAACTTCCACCTTCTGGGTTCAAGCAATTCTTGTGCCTCAGCCTTCCGAGTAGCTGAGATTACAGGCACCTGCCATCATGCCCAGCTAATTGTATTTTTAGTAGAGACGGGGTTTCACCATGTTGCCAGGCTGGTCTCAAACTCCTGACCTCAAATGATTCACCCATCTCAGCCTCCGAAAATGCGGGGATTACAGGCGTGAGCCACTATGCTTGGCCAAGACGCTGTCTCTTTAAAAAAAAAAAAGAAAGAAAAATAAAAAAGTACAACTATGGCAGGGCTGCAAAGGAGGCAGGAGGAGGTGGCAGAGCAGAAGGCTGAGGGACAAGAGGAGTTGACTATGCAGAGAGGGATTTGAGAGACTTCCGGGCAGTGAGCACTGTGTGTGAGCCCAAGAGAGAACTACAGGGCCCTGGACCATCCAGGCCCTGGTCCTCCAC